CGGGCGGAGAGCGCGGCCGCGGACCCCGGGCAGCGGAAGGCCCTTTCGCAGAGGTGAGGAGGAGAAAAAGGAGGAGCAGAGAATTCCCTGTACAACTTTCCGTTTTTCTCCTAATTGTACAGATCTCTTCCCTGGCTCCTTCTCACCCGGCTGTTTCCCAGGCGGAAGCAACAGGCTGGCTGCTTCCCAGTCCTCAAGGGCTGCGGTAGTTTTAAGTGGGAACTTGCAGATCACAGGCAATAATCTGCTAAGCTGCCGTTTGGGCTTCTATCTGCATTTGTCAAGCTGCATACACACAGGGAGTCTGCGTATCTAAACACGTTTCAGTAAGCATGCATGATTTGGGTCACCCGTCTTTTTAAGAAAATGCTGTCTGTCTGTCTTGCTTTCAATGCAGATGTATGCAGCTGAAGAAACTGCTGGATGAGAATACAACTGCTCTTCATGATCTGAAAAAAGTAAGTGTGGAAACAATTTTGTTAATGGTTTTCTCCAAAATGCATCACAGAGAGTGTTTAGAGAACACCAGCCTACTTTGATTTTAGATGCCTCGGGACAAGAGCAATGCCTAGCACTGTGCAACCCCGGAGTGAGATCTCTGAGATCCATTTGTGTTATTTAAAAGCATATTTTTAATGCTTTATTGTGTACAAGTTCCGCACTTAAAATCTTTATCGACCCAATACTTTTTAAAATGTTTATCAACTCAATGTGTTGTATCAAAAGCGGAGAATGCAGATTTGAAATTTAACATGAAATTTCATTGTGGCAGAGTAAAAGGGCAAGAAAGATATCACTAAACAGGGAGTGACAGCATCCCAGGAAGGTCAAAGCTCATAAGCCGTCTGGAAAACTAACTTTATAGGGGAACTTTAACTTTGATTCTTTGGGCAATTTGTTGTGTTCTTCTTAGGCTGATGAGCCTGCACCTGTGGGGAATTATAATCAGAGGAAAGAAGAAGAAGAAAAGCTATTGCTAAAACTTTCTCAGCAGCTGCAGAAACTTGTTCTTGTATTGGATCAGGATAACGTGACGACGAATTATGCAGCGTAAGTAGCTTAAACAAACAAATACAATCTGCACTTTTACAGAATTGTACATGTATGGTTGGAAAGGACCCTGAAAAATTGTTAGCTCGTTGCCTTTATTATCTTAACATACATTTAAAAAAGAGGTACTGAAGAGCCAGCTCTTATGGGGCTTGTTTTCTTGATGCAGTCATAAGCGACTCGCTTGAATTTTCTGAGGGTGTTGGTTAATGGCTGAAATATAATGTGGCTGTTGAGAGGAGAGGATGCAATGTGGTCTGTACACTTAGGGAGGAAACACCATTGGGATTTTGGTGTGTTTTCAGATCAGGACAGAGAGTAAAACATGGGAATGAAAATTCTGTATCTGGATAATGTCCTTGCAGAAAACCCCATATTGCAAGGCTTTACAGCAATTTCAAGAAGTTTTGTTAAAATAATAATTTAAAAAGTTTCATCTGTTTTGGGCAGGGATGAGGAACATCAGAAAGATCCTCAAACAGAAGATGAAAATGGAGAAGAGGATGAGAGTGAAGATGAAGAAAGTAGTGAGGAAGAAGACAGTGAAGAAGCAGATGATGATGAGGAGGATAAATTGTTGGATGATCCAAATGTTAAAGAATGTATTGCAGTTGGAAACTTCAATGCACAGCAGGAAGGCGATCTCACATTTACGGTAAATATGTCTCTATAAAATTTTTTGGCTGCAGATCATTGTGTCTTAAGTGATAACTGTAATTAAATCCTATGGTTCTGGGATTTAGCTGGTTCCTTGTGGGACCTGGGGAGAAATGGCTTTTCCCGGTGTACATTTGGCTTGGTGGACTCCAATGTCCTTTTGATACCTTCTTTTGCAGCACAGTCTGTCATGGTAGTCTGTGTTCTCTGTTGTGGGAAAAATTAAGCTGTTGCATGTTTTTTTTTTCAATTGTGCCTGGAACCATTTTGAAATATTTGGTCTTTTTTCTTTCTCTCTCCTTCTAATGGCAAAGAAAGGTGAAGTCCTACTTATACATGAAAAGAAGGCGGATGGCTGGTGGGTAGCCGAAAACTCAAAAGGGGAGAGAGGCCTCGTTCCTAGAACCTATCTTGTGGTTAGTGTGCTGCAACCTTCTTCTGTTCTAGTCTCACCTCTGTTATTTTATATATATTAATGATAATACAGCTGCATAAAATTGATCATTTTTGCCAGTTACTTGGAAATAATACCATGTTGGTATACGCGTATGGAGATAGCTAGCAAAAGCAGTATTTTTGTGCCTTGTGAAGATGTGACATGTAAGTGCAGAGAAGTTTCTTGACTATGAAAGTCATAATCTTTGTCACTAAAGGTCAACTCTGAAGTCTCCAAGCTGCTATGGACTAATTCAGGCTTTTCATAATTTATATGAAATGCGAGTCCATGTAAATGTTGGAGTATTTTGTAATTTGAGACAGAAGAACCTTTTAAAAAATGGATTTTAAAGCTTTGTAACTTTTTTTTTTCATTTTTAGAGTTGCTTACACATGTTAGTGTATGTATTTATACACATATACATCCAGTGTGCAATTGTGGTGAACATAAGCGGATACACAGTTTGGATTGAGTGATCAGGTGGAACAGAGCTTTTCACAATGTGACAAAAGAGCATGTTGAGTAGCTAGCTTTTTACTTCATGATGCTGATGTATTTCTGTTTAAAGAATCAGCTTTGCAAATGCATTCTCTTGTGTACTTGTAGGAATACTCCAATCCATTGCTGTATCTGCAGAACTAAGGGCAGTGTTCTGCAGTTACTGTGCTCTGGAGTGATAGGTCATTACAGACAGAAAACTTCCTCTTCTAAACTATTAACATGTGCTATGGTTGGAGAAAGCATTTTTAGGAACAGAATTGTGAAGAAATCAAGTACTTTTCCCCCTTTTTGAATCTGAATTACAGGTCCATAATGAAGATAAAGAGAACCAAGAGCGAAGCGGAGAACACATAGAAGTGGTGGATGAAACAGCAGATGGAACTGAAATTAAAAAAAGGTAAACGGAGTGATGTGAAAGCAAATAAGTATAAAATTGTTCTTCCATTTCCTCCTCAAATCTGATCCTACAATAGTTTCTTACAGTGAGAATACCTTACAAAGGCATTTGGTTCTTTGTGACTACATTTTTTTTTTCAGTACAGCAGACACTTGCTTATTTTTTCAGTTTGCAGACATATTTTCACTTGAGTGGGTTTGTTGGGGAGTTTTGCTTTGGCTTGTTTTGTTTTTTCCCTGTCATAAAATCAAAGATTAACTAGGTCATGTATCCAGTTATGTTCCAAGCTCATGAGACAGTCTCAGTTAGTCTCAGTGGCTAGAAATATGTGTATCTCCAATACAGACGGTTATTAAGCTGCTGGTATTTGAAGACAAACCTGTATTTAGTGTTTAAATTTTTGTCCACACAAGGATAATATTTTATAAATATACATTATTTTTCTTCCAGAACAGATTCTCACTGGAGTGCCGTAAGAAGAGCTATCACAGAGGTAGGTGTATCTCTTACAAAGCAACTTCATCTACCATAATGTTAATTATTTTGTAGACAAAGTTTTCCTTTTACCAAACACTGTATCTCATAGTACAGACCAATGTTTTTAATTGACATCTCTGTCTTGGTTTTTGTAGCAAGAAATGCTACAGAAATGTTCTCTAATGCTTTAGACATAGGCTGTAGCCTTGCCCGTGTGTATGAATGAAGATGTAAATGAGATGTCTTTGGCTGTTTTGCCACAGTAGTGCTACACCATTTATTTCAAGAGTGTGATTTTGTTCTGTAACTGGCTGCTCTGCCACTGTTTTGAAATAGAAGGCGGGTTTAACAAAATGGGAGCCTGGCTGGGTCCATACATGAAACAGAGTAAAAGTAGTTCCTGGAGATGGGCCAAACTGGCTTCAGATTAGAAGAGGTGACTGATGCCCCAGGTCTCCGGTACTGGTTGTGTGAGAGTTCTAAATTAGGATAGAACTAGATTTTAAATAGCAGGAATACTAATATCCATTTGTTTTCTACTAGAATGACACAGTAGAGGTATTGGCAACCATAGGAGCAGTTCCTGCAGGATTCCGCCTATCCACACTTTTCCAGCTCTTAGAAGAAGGTACGGTTTTCTCATAATAACTGCAGTGCTCGATTCTCAAGTGTCTGTGTTGAGTTTCTTATCCTGGTTACAGCCTATTGGACTAAAATCAGTATTGCTTAATTATAATTGGGAATCTGTACAGGTTATATTTGACCTGTCAAATAATGTATTAAATGCTTTTTTTCTTTTTCAATTAAGTTTTAATTTATCTGTGTGAAATCCTGGCCACATGAAGGCGATGACAAATTTCCTAATGACTTAAGAGATTTTCCTTTTTGGAAGATACTTCCTGTTGACATTGCAGAAAATGATGATTTTCTTAATCTTCCCTTTTTCTCAGAGGTCTGTTGGGAGTCTCTTCACTGAATATATTAGACATCTCATATTCTCTTAATCTTTTTGTTTAAAACTGTTTCAGGTCAATAGCTCTTTTTGTTAATTAAATTACTGTGCTTCTGGAACGAAATACTGCAGAACACTTACAAATAGTACAAGTACTCTTTTTAAAAGGGTGCTTGTAGGAAGATACCTCCATAGTTTTGTTTGGACCAGTCAAATATTCAAATGGACTTTAGCCACATCTGAATGTTGGGTGTTGTTCATTTTGTGTCAATAAAGATCATAAAAATGTTAAGAATTTTTAAAATTACTCTTATTGTAGGCAATCAGTTTCGAGCAAGTTACTTTTTGCAGCCTGAACTTACTGCATCACAGCTGGCTTTCAAAGACTTGGTGTGGGACCCTGAAAAAAACACTGTGAGTATTACTGGTAAGAAAGCTATGATGCTTTTGGTTTGAGAGAAATGACAGGATCTCTAGATGTGAATTGCTAGTGATATTTCCTATTGGTGGGTAAATATGGCTGTGAAACAGATGATAGATTTTGATGTCAATCCAGACTCCTTAGGCAGTAGATGTTATCACATCCTACTCTCTAACAGGCAAAAAAATGGTACAAATTGTTATGTTTGTATCTTTCAAAAGTCATGTTTCATCTTAAGTTTGTGGATTCCTTCCCTGTCTGGGGTGAAGCAGATCTGCGTGGGTGACTAGCCTGAATTTTTAAACCATGAACTTCTGCTAGGCACCATGAAATCACCAATTTCATTTTCTTTCATTTTGGCTAATGATTATATCTTGATTTGCACCATTTTTAGAATATTTATTTCTTCTCAAACTTTGATAGGACCTTCTATCTGTCACATCAAAAATATTTGTAGTGATTTCCTTAGAAGAGAGCTAAAGCCTTACAAAGAAATTTTGCTGCTAATACTACACAAGCTTTGTAGTTAGAAGAATCCAGTCTAGTGAACACTACACTTGATCATCTCAGTACCAGTTGGTACCACATCCAGGAGGAGCCTTTAGATGTAATCATTCTTTTGTTGTCTGTATTTCAGATCTGTCCTAGACCAACTCGAGTATCCCTGATTGTAACTTTATGTAGCTGTAAAATGATTCCTCTCCCAGGAGTCAGTATACAGGTTCTCAGTAGACATGTTCGAATCTGTCTGTTCGATGGCAATCGGGTAAGTTGTTTGGCTATCAAAAAAAGTCTTGAGGTGTGGATCTTTCAGGATCTTTTCATGCTCTGGTCCCTCTGGTAGCCAAATCCTCCAGTTGTGTGGCTGAGACACACACATACACACACACAATCTGCTTCCCAAGTCACTTAACTTACACTCCAATTAGTCTGACTTGATACTCTCCTGTGATCACAGACTGACATATGTACCCTCACTCTCTTACTTGGTCACCACAGACACGTAGGCCCCCAGTGACCTGTGATCTGGCTAGTTGCTAGCACCTAGACATACACTCATGCATGCAGAATAGAGCCCGTTCACCCAGAAAAATAGGTAGAAATGGAGTTTAATGAGAAAACAGGACAGACTGCATTGATCAGGTGCCAGGCATGGCCAGACATGCATACTTATCCCTCTGTTTTCCCACCCTTCTTACTCCGCAAAGCACCTTGATCCCTCCCTTTTTCTGCCTTTGGTTCCTCCCCTGAACATCCCAGAGTAAGTCATGTACAGTCCCAAAATGCCCTTCGCCTCCACACCAGCGTCTCATCTCCCTGAGCAGTAACCCCTTTCAGTCTGTCAGGTGATCCAGCAAGCCGCTCCTGTTGATTCATCATGATGGGAGTCACACCCAGCCCCTGGGGCTGATGGCTGTCCTGGGCAGCCCTGGGAGGGGCTGGGGTGGGAGCTCCATTTCTCTGAGTCCATAATTTCGGTTCCTCCACCTGCCATTGTGCCTCTTTGCTCCTTCATGTTCGTGGAGTCGAGCCTTTTCTGGGCTGACCTCTCTCCTGTGATGGGCCTGGGAATAGCTGGGTCGGCGTTGTATTTGGATTCCCCCACATGCCATTGATCTTCTGTTCTCCTTTGTGCCTATGTGTAGAGCAGCTTTTTATAACAGAATTTAATGCTGATGATCTGGCACTTTTATTCCTGC